ATTGATGTGTGACCCCCCATGATGAGTAGATCGGACAGATGGGGGGTGTCATTGATGTGTGACCCCCATGATGAGGGGATAGGGCAGATGGGGGGTGTCAGTGATGTGTGACCCCCATGATGAGGGGATAGGGCAGATGGGGGGTGTCATTGATGTGTGACCCCCATGATGAGTGGATGGGACAGATGGGGGGTGTCATTGAGATGTGTGACCCCCATGATGAGGGGATAGGGCAGATGGGGGGTGTCATTGATGTGTGACCCCCATGATGAGTGGATGGGACAGATGGGGGGTGTCAGTGATGTGTGACCCCCATGATGAGTGGATGGGACAGATGGGGGGTGTCATTGATGTGTGACCCCCATGATGAGGGGATGGGGCAGATGGGGGGGTGTCATTGATGTGTGACCCCCATGATGAGGGGATGGGGCAGATGGGGGGTGTCATTGATGTGTGACCCCCATGATGAGGGGATAGGGCAGATGGGGGGTGTCATTGATGTGTGGCCCCCATGATGAGGGGATAGGGCAGATGGGGGGTGTCATTGATGTGTGGCCCCCATGATGAGGGGATAGGGCAGATGGGGGGTGTCATTGATGTGTGACCCCCATGATGAGGGGATAGGGCAGATGGGGGGTGTCATTGATGTGTGTCCCCCCATGATGAGTGGATGGGACAGATGGGGGGTGTCATTGATGTGTGACCCCCCCCCCCCCCCCCCATGATGAGTGGATTGGGGCAGATGGGGGGTGTCATTGATGTGTGGTCCCCCCATGATGAGTGGATGGGACAGATGGGGGGTGTCATTGATGTGTGACCCCCATGATGAATGGATGGGACAGATGGGGGGGGTGTCATTGATGTGGGACCTCCATGATGAGTGGATAGGGCAGATGGGGGGTGTCATTGATGTGTGACCCCCATGATGAGTGGATGGGGCAGATGGGGGGTGTCATTGATGTGGGACCTCCATGATGAGGGGATAGGGCAGATGGGGGGGTGTCATTGATGTGTGACCCCCATGAGTGGATGGGGCAGATGGGGGGTGTCATTGATGTGTGACCCTTATGATGAGTGGATGAGGCAGATGGGGGGTGTCATTGATGGATGTCTTCTGTTTCCTGATCTTGCCCCCCCCCCTCTCCCATTCTTGATTTCCTCCGTATTTCTCCTCGTACAGACGGAACCTCCCCTCAACACTCCGGAGAACAGAGAGTACACGGCGGAGATCATGTTTGAGTCCTTCAATGTCCCCGGACTGTACATAGCTGTCCAGGTAATCACCAAACCCAAGGTCCCCGTCCTCGGTCAGCTGAATTGTGGGTAAAGAACATGGAGGATGGCGTTGTTGAATTGTGGGTAAAGAACATGGAGGATGGCGTTGTTGTTGGAGGATGGCGTTGTTGGTTCATTTAGCTCAATGATTATATTCGTGTTCTGGAAGGAATGGGGGGGGTTCCCTCCCGGGAGGGCTGCAGGGAGGTGTCCCTGGAAGATGTGATTGAGAGTGAGCAGTGGGGCATAGGAAGAGATGACAGAGCTAGTATGGGAGTTCATGCTAGTATGCTAGGTCCCTGGAAGAGGTCATGTAGAGCTAGCCCCGGGGTATGGGCCCTCGAGGAGCTGACTGATGTAGTGGGGTGGGGGGGGGGGTCAGGTCCCTGGAAGAGGTCATGTAGAGCTAGCCCCGGGGTATGGGCCCTCGAGGAGCTGACATGCAGTGGGGGAGTTCAGGTCCCTGGAAGAGGTCATGTAGAGCTAGCCCCGGGATATGGGCCCTCGCAGACCTGACTGATGTAGTGGGGGGGGTAGGGAAGAGGTGAAGGAGAGGGGGAAGGGCTCAGACCTCTGCAAGTATTGATGTCCATCGTCTGTCCTCAGGCTGTCCTGGCTTTGGCTGCATCTTGGACCTCCAGACAAGTGGGGGAGCGCACTCTGACCGGTACGGTGATAGACAGCGGAGATGGTGTCACTCACGTCATTCCAGTGGTAAGTGGCTGTCATGTGACAAGGATGACAGAACTGGCCTCTGATGGTGGCCCTGATATAGAAGTATACATGGCATTGCGCGCTGGATGGTCCCCGGTGCAGTCTATATGGTCGATATCTCTATAGAAATCACTTTGTGAAGATTCTGTCCATGAATGAAAGCTGCGGTCCATGCTCCGCCCTCTATCGTCTGATAAAATTGGAGGAAAATGGGGGTAACTATAGGTCATGTGATCATCAAACCTCCCGAGTGATACTTGTGATATCACCTTCAAATATTAGCACCTTTTATCTTGTGCACCTCCTGACAGTGCTGGGCCCCACCATTGGGTGAATGTACGGAGGTCCATACTAATGCTGAGTACGGGGTCCTGCGATGCGATTTGGGACTGAGCAGAGAAGACTGAATACCAGGTTTAGTCATCCCTGGATCCGGGTCTGAAGGGTTCAAGGAGTCCTGGGTGGGAAGAAGCCTTCAATCCTGTGTCCGGGTCCTACTGGAGACCTGCACGCGGTGATGGTGTACGGGGGCCACACACGCGGTGATGGTGTACGGGGGCCACACACGCGGTGATGGTGTACGGGGGCCACACACGCGGTGATGGTGTACGGGGGCCACACACGCGGTGATGGTGTACGGGGGCCACACACGCGGTGATGGTGTGCGGGGGAGCCACACACGCGGTGATGGTGTGCGGGGGCCACACACGCGGTGATGGTGTGCGGGGGCCACACACGCGGTGATGGTGTACGGGGGCCACACACGCGGTGATGGTGTACGGGGGCCACACACGCGGTGATGGTGTACGGGGGCCACACACGCGGTGATGGTGTGCGGGGGCCACACACGCGGTGATGGTGTGCGGGGGCCACACACGCGGTGATGGTGTACGGGGGCCACACACGCGGTGATGGTGTACGGGGGCCACACGCATTAGAAGAGGCCTGGCCATAGCTCCATGCTCCAGCCAGGAGGGAGGGGTGCTCCCATGTGAGGACAGCTGTGTTCCTGTGAGGAGAGGGGGGGGGACTCTACTCCGGAGGCAGAACTCCATGTTGGAGAATCCATGTCCCCTGGGATGAGAGGATAAGTAGGCCAGTCCAGGGGGCTGAGGGGAGTCTACATCTCAGGAGGTGTCAGGAGAACCCCAATCTAGAGGCTAGGAGGGGGCGGTGATTAGACTGGGAGGATGGGTGGGACAGTCTGAGGGGCCAGTGATAGAGCGGTGCTGCTGAACACAGCCAGGTGGGGGGGATTACCGACCCCCTGTGTGTGCTCCGCTCTTTCATGTTTTATAGAAGTGTCCTGAGAAACCCGAGTTCTGCCCGGCCGGGGCTCAACCTCTACCCCCCCACCTGATGACCACCCTAATCATTCTACACCGTGTTTGTTGTCCTCCGCGTACACGCTGTATAAAGTTTATATAAAAATAGAAACAATTCCGTGTCCCCCCCCCATATCTCTCTTCTAACCCCCCCCCCCATCTCTCTTCTAACCCCCCCCCATCTCTCTTCTAACCCCCCCTCCCATCTCTCTTCTAACCCCCCCCTTATCTCTCGGGCTCTCCTCCTCCTCCCCCCAGGCTGAAGGCTACGTGATTGGAAGCTGCATCAAGCACATCCCCATCGCGGGAAGAGACATCACCTACTTCATCCAGCAGTTACTCCGAGACAGAGAGGTCGGCATTCCTCCGGAACAGTCCCTGGAAACGGCAAAGGCTGTGAAGGTACCAAACAGTCCTACCTCAATGTGATTGGACGAGGAGATCCCTCCTCCATGGTGTCATGGCAGTCCTCGTGTGATCTGCTCCCCTCCCATGGTGTGTCATGTGCTCCTGTCATGGTGGTCCTCGTGTGTTCTGCTTCCCTCCCATGGTGTGTCATGTGCTCCAGTCATGGTGGTCCTCGTGTGTTCTGCTTCCCTCCCATGGTGTGTCATGTGCTCCAGTCATGGTGGTCCTCGTGCGTTCTGCTCCCCTCCCATGGTGTGTCATGTGCTCCTGTCATGGTGGTCCTCGTGTGTTTTGCTCCCCTCCCATGGTGTGTCATGTACTCCTGTCATGGCGGTCCTCATGTGGTCTCCTCCCCCTCCCATAGTGTGTCATGGTGGTCCTCGTAGTCTGCTCCCCCTCCCATGGTGTGTCATGGTGGTCCTTGTGTTCTGCTCCCCCTCCCATGGTGTGTCCTTGTGGTCTGCTCCCCCTCCCATGGTGTGTCATGGTGGTCCTTGTAGTCTGCTCCCCCTCCCATGGTGGTCCTCGTCTGCTCCCCCTCCCATGGTATGTCGTGGTGGTCCTCGTAGTCTGCTCCCCCTCCCATGGTGTGTTGTGGTGGTCCTCGCCTGCTCCCCCTCCCATGGTGTGTCGTGGTGGTCCTCGCCTGCTCCCCCTCCCATGGTGTGTCGTGGTGGTCCTCGCCTGCTCCCCCTCCCATGGTGTGTCGTGGTGGTCCTCGCCTGCTCCCCCTCCCATGGTGTGTCGTGGTGGTCCTCGCCTGCTCCCCCTCCCATGGTGTGTCGTGGTGGTCCTCGCCTGCTCCCCCTCCCATGGTGTGTCGTGGTGGTCCTCGCCTGCTCTCCCTCCCATGGTGTGTCGTGGTGGTCCTCGCCTGCTCTCCCTCCCATGGTGTGTCGTGGTGGTCCTCGCCTGCTCTCCCTCCCATGGTGTGTCGTGGTGGTCCTCGCCTGCTCTCCCTCCCATGGTGTGTCGTGGTGGTCCTCGCCTGCTCTCCCTCCCATGGTGTGTCGTGGTGGTCCTCGCCTGCTCTCCCTCCCATGGTGTGTCGTGGTGGTCCTCGCCTGCTCCCCCTCCCATGGTGTGTCGTGGTGGTCCTCGCCTGCTCCCCCTCCCATGGTGTGTCGTGGTGGTCCTCGCCTGCTCCCCCTCCCATGGTGTGTCGTGGTGGTCCTCGTAGTCTGCTCCCCCTCCCATGGTGTGTCGTGGTGGTCCTCGTAGTCTGCTCCCCCTCCCATGGTGTGTCGTGGTGGTCCTCGTAGTCTGCTCCCCCTCCCATGGTGTGTCGTGGTGGTCCTCGTCTGCTCCCCCTCCCGTGGTGGTCCTTGTAGTCTGCTCCCCCTCCCATGGTGTGTCGTGGTGGTCCTTGTCGTCTGCTCCCCCTCCCATGGTGTGTCGTGGTGGTCCTCGCCTGCTCCCCCTCCCGTGGTGGTCCTCGCCTGCTCCCCCTCCCGTGGTGGCCCTCGTCTGCTCCCCCTCCCGTGGTGGCCCTCGTCTGCTCCCCCTCCCGTGGTGGCCCTCGTCTGCTCCCCCTCCCGTGGTGGCCCTCGTCTGCTCCCCCTCCCGTGGTGTGTCTTGGTGGTCCTCGTAGTCTGCTCCCCCTCCCGTGGTGGTCCTCGTAGTCTGCTCCCCCTCCCGTGGTGGTCCTCGTAGTCTGCTCCCCCTCCCGTGGTGGTCCTCGTAGTCTGCTCCCCCTCCCGTGGTGGTCCTCGTAGTCTGCTCCCCCTCCCGTGGTGGTCCTCGTAGTCTGCTCCCCCTCCCGTGGTGGTCCTCGTAGTCTGCTCCCCCTCCCGTGGTGGTCCTCGTAGTCTGCTCCCCCTCCCATGGTGTGTCGTGGTGGTCCTCGCCTGCTCCCCCTCCCATGGTGGTCCTCTGGTGGTGTGTTGCTCCTGCTGATTGCCTCCGTTTCCGTGGTTCCCAGGAGCGGTTCAGTTACGTGTGCCCGGATCTGGTGAAGGAGTTCAGTAAGTACGACACGGACGGCAGCAAGTGGATCAAGCAGTACACGGGGGTGAATGCCGTCACCAAGAAGGAGTTCAGTATTGACGTCGGGTACGAGAGATTCCTCGGTCCTGAAATATTCTTCCATCCTGAGGTGAGACCCCAATACCCCCCTCCACGTGCACAGGGAGACCCAGCCGGGTCAGTCCACCCCGCCCCACGTGGGCAGCCGGGTCAGTCCACCCCGCCCCACGTGGGCAGCCGGGCCAGTCCCCCCCGCCCCACGTGGGCAGCCGGGCCAGTCCCCCCCGCCCCACGTGGGCAGCCGGGCCAGTCCACCCCGCCCCACGTGGGCAGCCGGGTCAGTCCACCCCCCCGCCCCACGTGGTCAGTCCCCCCACGTAGGCAGGGGTCAATGACAATGAAATGATGCCGAGCAGCCTGGACCGTGTAGTACGAGGACTCAGGAATACTTGGTGTGTACACCTTCTCCGCTCCTGGTGAGGTGGGGGAGGGGTGCAGGGGTAATAATGAACTGTAGATGAAAAGTGTTGCATGGATGGGTTTCTGGGGTCACTTTCTGCTCTGCCTGGATAGCTTGATGGGGTAATCTGCTGCCCCGGGCGGGGTTGTGGGGGATGTCGTTGCCCCGGGCGGGGTTGTTGTGGGGATGTCGTTGCCCCGGGCGGGGTTGTGGGGATGTCGTTGCCCCGGGCGGGGTTGTGGGGATGGCGTTTGCCCCCCGGGCGGGGTTGTGGGGATGGCGTTGTCCCGTTGCCGGGGTAGTGTTGCTGGGGGCGGGTTACCAATCTGGGACCTTCACCAGTCTGATGTTCTGGTACTTTTGTCTTGTCTTTAGTTTGCCAACCCGGACTTCACTCAGCCCATTTCGGAGGTCGTTGATGAGGTCATCCAGAATTGTCCCATTGATGTGAGGCGTCCTCTCTATAAGGTAGGAGGATCTCTGTGTATAATGGGGGCCCCACCCGTAGATGGTCACCATCCCCTCCACCCGTAGATGGTCACCATCCCCTCCACCCGTAGATGGTCACCATCCCCTCCACCCGTAGATGGTCACCATCCCCCCCACCCGTAGATGGTCACCATCCCCCCACCCGTAGATGGTCACCATCCCCTCCACCCGTAGATGGTCACCATCCCCCCACCCGTAGATGGTCACCATCCCCTCCACCCGTAGATGGTCACCCACCCCCCCACCACCCACCACCTGTAGATGGTCACCACCCCCTCCCCACCCGTAGATGGTCACCACCCCCTCCACCCCGTAGATGGTCACCACCCCCTCCACCCGTAGATGGTCACCACCCCCCCCCTCCACCCGTAGATGGTCACCACCCCCTCCACCCGTAGATGGTCACCACCCCCCTCCACCCGTAGATGGTCACCACCCCCTCCACCCGTAGATGGTCACCACCCCCTCCACCCGTAGATGGTCACCACCCCCTCCACCCGTAGATGGTCACCACCCCCTCCACCCGTAGATGGGTCACCACCCCCTCCACCCGTAGATGGTCACCACCCCCCTCCACCCGTAGATGGTCACCACCCCCTCCACCCGTAGATGGTCACCACCCCCTCCACCCGTAGATGGTCACCACCCCCTCCACCCGTAGATGGTCACCACCCCCTCCACCCGTAGATGGTCACCACCCCCTCCACCCGTAGATGGTCACCACCCCCCCTCCACCCGTAGATGGTCACCACCCCCTCCACCACCCGTAGATGGTCACCACCCCCTCCACCCGTAGATGGTCACCACCCCCTCCACCCGTAGATGGTCACCACCCCCTCCACCCGTAGATGGTCACCACCCCCTCCACCCGTAGATGGTCACCACCCCCCCCCCTCCACCCGTAGATGGTCACCACCCCCCTCCACCCGTAGATGGTCACCACCCCCTCCACCCGTAGATGGTCACCATCCCCCTCCACCCGTAGATGGTCACCATCCCCTCCACCCGTAGATGGTCACCCCCCCCCCCCCCCACCACCACCCGTAGATGGTCACCCCCCCCCCCCCCACCACCACCCGTAGATGGTCACCCCCCCCCCCCACCACCACCCGTAGATGGTCACCCCCCCCCCCCCCACCACCACCCGTAGATGGTCACCCCCCCCCCCCCCACCCACCCGTAGATGGTCACCCCCCCCCCCACCCACCACCCGTAGATGGTCACCCCCCCCCCCCCACCACCACCCGTAGATGGTCACCCCCCCACCACCACCCGTAGATGGTCACCCCCCCCCCCCCACCACCACCCGTAGATGGTCACCCCCCCCCCCCACCACCACCCGTAGATGGTCACCCCCCCCCCCCCCCCCCCCCACCCCCGTAGATGGTCACCCCCCCCCCCCCCCCCCCCCCCACCACCCGTGGATGGTCACCCCCCCCCCCCCCCCACCACCCCGTGGATGGTCACCCCCCCCCCCCCCCACCACCACCCCCGTGGATGGTCACCCCCCCCCCCCACCACCACCCACCCGTGGATGGTCACCCCCCCCCACCACCTGTGGATGGTCACCACCACCACCCCCCCCCACCCCCCCCCACCACCCCTGTGGATGGTCACCCCCCCCCCCACCCCACCACCACCCCACCCGTGGATGGTCACCCCCCCCCACCACCACCACCCGTGGATGGTCACCCCCCACCACCCACCACCCGTGGATGGTCACCCCCCACCACCACCACCACCCGTGGATGGTCACCCCCCACCACCACCACCACCCGTGGATGGTCACCCCCCCCCCCCCACACCACCACCCGTGGATGGTCACCCCCCCCCCCCCCCCACCACCACCCGTGGATGGTCACCCCCCCCCCCCCCCACCACCACCCGTGGATGGTCACCCCCCCCCCCACCACCACCACCACCCGTGGATGGTCACCCCCCCCCCCCCCCCACCACCACCCGTGGATGGTCACCCCCCCCCCCCCCACCACCACCACCCGTGGATGGTCACCCCCCCCCCCCCCCCCCCCACCACCACCTGTGGATGGTCACCCCCCACCACCACCACCTGAGGATGGTCACCCCCCCCCATCACCACCTGTGGATGGCCACCCCTCCACCCGTAGATGGTCACACCCCCCGTAGATGGTCACCATCCCCCCCCCCCGTAGATGGTCTGGAGATGTTTGTGGCACTTCTATCTCCTCCACCTAGAACATCGTCCTCTCCGGGGGCTCCACCATGTTCCGGGACTTCGGGCGCCGCCTGCAGAGGGATTTGAAGAGAACGGTTGATGCCAGACTGAAGCTGAGCGAGGAGCTGAGTGGAGGACATCTGAAGGTGAGATCCCTCTAATCTTTTATTGGGTGAAGCTGGAAATCTCTCCCAGCCAATCACAGAAGTCCGTGTGGATCTATGGGGGTTGGATGGACAGAATTGTTCCGTGTTGTATAAGGGGGAGGGGCTGGTTGCACACATTTCCCATGATGCTCCAGTGCTGACATTGTTTCCGGTCTTCTCATTCAGCCGAAGCCCATTGATGTCCAGGTGATCACTCACCACATGCAGAGATACGCCGTCTGGTTCGGAGGGTCCATGTTGGCTTCCACGGTAAGTGATAGAGGGGTCCCGGGGCCCTCGGGGGTGGTGTGCTCCTATTATACGTGTCCCGGAATACATCGTACAATCCTGCCATCCCAGATGGGTGAGACAATACCCGAGCAATGGTGGTGTCATACCACGGCACTCCTGCCCCCTACAGGTCACCTGTACTACTGCACGTCTGTATACTGAGAGCAGTGTAATGGCAGCCTGAATGTGGGTGAGCCACGCGGTGCCGTGTCTCAGTGTTGCTCGGTCACAGGTGCAGCTGGGTCCCGTGTCTCAGTGTTGCTCGGTCACAGGTGCAGCGGTGCCGTGTCTCAGTGTTGCTCGGTCACAGGTGCAGCGGTCCCGTGTCTCAGTGTTGCTCGGTCACAGGTGCAGCGGTCCTGTGTCTCAGTGTTGCTCGGTCACAGGTGCAGCGGTCCCGTGTCTGTGTTGCTCGGTCACAGGTGCAGCGGTCCCGTGTCTCAGTGTTGCTCGGTCACAGGTGCAGCGGTCCCGTGTCTCAGCAGTGTTGCTCGGTCACAGGTGCAGCGGTGCCGTGTCTCAGTGTTGCTCGGTCACAGGTGCAGCGGTCCCGTGTCTGTGTTGCTCGGTCACAGGTGCAGCGGTCCCGTGTCTCAGTGTTGCTCGGTCACAGGTGCAGCGGTCCTGTGTCTCAGTGTTTGCTCGGTCACAGGTGCAGCGGTCCCGTGTCTGTGTTGCTCGGTCACAGGTGCAGCGGTCCCGTGTCTGTGTTGCTCGGTCACAGGTGCAGCGGTCCCGTGTCTGTGTTGCTCGGTCACAGGTGCAGCGGTCCCGTGTCTGTGTTGCTCGGTCACAGGTGCAGCGGTCCCGTGTCTGTGTTGCTCGGTCACAGGTGCAGCGGTCCCGTGTCAGTGTTGCTCGGTCACAGGTGCAGCGGTCCCGTGTCAGTGTTGCTCGGTCACAGGTGCAGCGGTCCCCCGTGTGTCTGTGTTGCTCGGTCACAGGTGCAGCGGTCCCGTGTCTGTGTTGCTCGGTCACAGGTGCAGCGGTCCCGTGTCTGTGTTGCTCGGTCACAGGTGCAGCGGTCCCGTGTCTGTGTTGCTCGGTCACAGGTGCAGCGGTCCCGTGTCTGTGTTGCTCGGTCACAGGTGCAGCGGTCCCGCCGTGTCTGTGTTGCTCGGTCACAGGTGCAGCGGTCCCGTGTCTGTGTTGCTCGGTCACAGGTGCAGCGGTCCCGTGTCTGTGTTGCTCGGTCACAGGTGCAGCGGTCCCGTGTCTGTGTTGCTCGGTCACAGGTGCAGCGGTCCCGTGTCTGTGTTGCTCGGTCACAGGTGCAGCGGTCCCGTGTCTGTGTTGCTCGGTCACAGGTGCAGCGGTCCCGTGTCTGTGTTGCTCGGTCACAGGTGCAGCGGTCCCGTGTCTGTGTTGCTCGGTCACAGGTGCAGCGGTCCCGTGTCTGTGTTGCTCGGTCACAGGTGCAGCGGTCCCGTGTCTCAGTGTTGCTCGGTCACAGGTGCAGCGGTCCCGTGTCTCAGTGTTGCTCGGTCACAGGTGCAGCGGTCCCGTGTCTCAGTGTTGCTCGGTCACAGGTGCAGCGGTCCCGTGTCTCAGTGTTGCTCGGTCACAGGTGCAGCGGTCCCGTGTCTCAGTGTTGCTCGGTCACAGGTGCAGCGGTCCCGTGTCTCAGTGTTGCTCGGTCACAGGTGCAGCGGTCCCGTGTCTCAGTGTTGCTCGGTCACAGGTGCAGCGGTCCCGTGTCTCAGTGTTGCTCGGTCACAGGTGCAGCGGTCCCGTGTCTCAGTGTTGCTCGGTCACAGGTGCAGCGGTCCCGTGTCTCAGTGTTGCTCGGTCACAGGTGCAGCGGTCCCGTGTCTCAGTGTTGCTCGGTCACAGGTGCAGCGGTCCCGTGTCTCAGTGTTGCTCGGTCACAGGTGCAGCGGTCCCGTGTCTCAGTGTTGCTCGGTCACAGGTGCAGCGGTCCCGTGTCTCAGTGTTGCTCGGTCACAGGTGCAGCGGTCCCGTGTCTCAGTGTTGCTCGGTCACAGGTGCAGCGGTCCCGTGTCTCAGTGTTGCTCGGTCACAGGTGCAGCGGTCCCGTGTCTCAGTGTTGCTCGGTCACAGGTGCAGCGGTCCCGTGTCTCAGTGTTGCTCGGTCACAGGTGCAGCGGTCCCGTGTCTCAGTGTTGCTCGGTCACAGGTGCAGCGGTCCCGTGTCTCAGTGTTGCTCGGTCACAGGTGCAGCGGTCCCGTGTCTCAGTGTTGCTCGGTCACAGGTGCAGCGGTCCCGTGTCTCAGTGTTGCTCGGTCACAGGTGCAGCGGTCCCGTGTCTCAGTGTTGCTCGGTCACAGGTGCAGCGGTCCCGTGTCTCAGTGTTGCTCGGTCACAGGTGCAGCGGTCCCGTGTCTCAGTGTTGCTCGGTCACAGGTGCAGCGGTCCCGTGTCTCAGTGTTGCTCGGTCACAGGTGCAGCGGTCCCGTGTCTCAGTGTTGCTCGGTCACAGGTGCAGCGGTCCCGTGTCTCAGTGTTGCTCGGTCACAGGTGCAGCGGTCCCGTGTCTCAGTGTTGCTCGGTCACAGGTGCAGCGGTCCCGTGTCTCAGTGTTGCTCGGTCACAGGTGCAGCGGTCCCGTGTCTCAGTGTTGCTCGGTCACAGGTGCAGCGGTCCCGTGTCTCTGTGTTGCTCGGTCACAGGTGCAGCGGTCCCGTGTCTGTGTGTTGCTCGGTCACAGGTGCAGCGGTCCCGTGTCTGTGTTGCTCGGTCACAGGTGCAGCGGTCCCGTGTCTGTGTTGCTCGGTCACAGGTGCAGCAGCGGTCCCGTGTCTGTGTTGCTCGGTCACAGGTGCAGCGGTCCCCGTGTCTGTGTTGCTCGGTCACAGGTGCAGCGGTCCCGTGTCTGTGTTGCTCGGTCACAGGTGCAGCGGTCCCGTGTCTGTGTTGCTCGGTCACAGGTGCAGCGGTCCCGTGTCTGTGTTGCTCGGTCACAGGTGCAGCGGTCCCGTGTGTCTGTGTTGCTCGGTCACAGGTGCAGCGGTCCCGTGTGTCTGTGTTGCTCGGTCACAGGTGCAGCGGTCCCGTGTCTCGGCACTGTTGCTCGGCTCCCAATGTCCACAGAATGGGGGGGGGGAGGTGACGTCGGCTGTAGGAAGTGTTTGCTGAGGAACACGGACTGACCAGCTGACTCTTTTCTTTCTTCCAGCCGGAGTTCTACCAAGTGTGCCACACCAAGAAGGACTACGAGGAGATCGGGCCGTCGATCTGCCGCCACAATCCCGTCTTCGGGGTCATGTCCTAGTCAGTGCGGGGACTTCAGAGGTGGTGGGGTGCAGTCAGCTGACCCGGGTGCTGCCCTCGTCTCCTCTGACACCCATCATTCCGGTATAATAAAGCGCAGCACTGGGTGATATTGGTGTCAGTCCTGGTCTTGTCTGTCTGTGAGTGGGGGGGTATCGGGACCTCCATGCGTCTCCTGTGGGGGGGTATCGGGACCTCCATGCGTCTCCTGTGGGGGGTATCGGGACCCCCATGTGTCTCCTGTGACGGGTCATGGGAACCTCTCGCTGGCTTTTCTATGTTTATACTGAGAGCGGTCCTTCGGATTCGGTCCCACCTCCTACGAGCCGGTTCTGGGAACCCGACAGCTTCTTGTGCTCTATTCTGCTTCCTCTTCTCTGCTTACACTGGGGGCCACGCTGGCCGCTCACTGGGGGCCACGCTGGCCGCTCACTGGGTGGTCTCCATTCATTGCTGAACTAAAGTTGGTTTGTCAACCGAAACTTCATCCAATAAAGTCCTCCGTATCTTTTTTACATTGCGCCTGTCTGCTCTTCTGTCCATATTGCTTCCTCTTGTGTCATGTGATCAGTGTCAGCCCTGCCTGCTCCTCATTGGTGGATGTCATGTGATCAGTGTCAGCCCTGCCCGCTCCTCATTGGTGGATGTCAGGTGATCGGTGTCAGCCCCGCCCGCTCCTCATTGGTGGATGTCAAGTGATCAGTGTCAGCCCCGCCCGCTCCTCATTGGTGGATGTCAGGTGATCGGTGTCAGCCCTGCCCGCTCCTCATTGGTGGATGTCAGGTGATCAGTGTCAGCCCCGCCCGCTCCTCATTGGTGGATGTCAGGTGATCGGTGTCAGCCCCGCCCGCTCCTCATTGGTGGATGTCAGGTGATCGGTGTCGGCCCTGCCCGCTCCTCATTGGTGGATGTCAGGGGATCAGTGTCGGCCCCGCCCGCTCCTCATTGGTGGATATCGTGATCGGTGTCGGCCCCGCCGCTCCTCATTGGTGGATGTCATGTGATCGGTGTCAGCCCCGCCCGCTTCTCATTGGTGGATGTCATGTGATCAGTGTCGGCCCCCGCCCGCTCCTCATTGGTGGATGTCATGTGATCAGTGTTGGCCCCGCCCGCTCCTCATTGGTGGATGTCATGTGATCAGTGTTGGCCCCGCCCGCTCCTCATTGGTGGATGTCGTGATCAGTGTCGGCCTTGCCCGCTCCTCGTACCCCAAGGTTGTGTGATTAGTGGGGTAGCCCAAGGCTCAGTGGTGTCAGTGGGGTACCCCAAGGTTCAGTGTCAGTGGGGTACTCCAAGGCTCAGTGGGGTACCCCAAGGTTCAGTGCCAGTGGGGTACTCCAAGGCTCAGTGGTGTCAGTGGGGTACCCCAAGGTTCAGTGTCAGTGGGGTACTCGGAGGTCAGAGGAGATTTTTTTGCAGATAGATTCATTTTCTGGAATAATTAAGAAGTTTGAGAGACGATGTGCAAAGTGTGCCGCTGGGCGGGGGGGAGGTATTGGCGCTGGGCGGGGGAGGTATTGGCGCTGGGCGGGGGAGGTATTGGCGCTGGGCGGGGGAGGTATTGCCGATCTAGAGTTCATTTTCTCCTTGATTGGACCGAGAACTCTTCAATCCCCTTTGTGAAAGATCTGGATGTAATCCCAAATGTACAAAATTACAGGAGGTTCCGGGGAATGGGATCCAGGGAATATCTAACTGCCTCCTGGGGAACCAGAAAGGAATTTATCCCAAAGGAGCGTGTGACAGTGATCGGTACGTACAGGAGAGGAGTGTGGGGGGTGTGACGGTGATCGGTACGTACAGGAGAGGAGTGTGGGGGGGGTGTGACGGTGATCGGTACGTACAGGAGAGGAGTGTGGGGGGTGTGACGGTGATCGGTACGTGCGGGAGAGGAGTGCGGGGGGTGTGACGGTGATCGGTACGTGCGGGAGAGGAGCGTGGGGGGGTGTGACGGTGATCGGTATGTGGAGGTGTGACGGTGATTGGTGCGTACGGGAGAGGGGCGTGGGGGTGGTGCGACGGTGATTGGTGCGTACGGGAGAGGGGCGTGGGGGTGGTGCGACGGTGATTGGTGCGTACGGGAGAGGGGCGTGGGGGTGGTGCGACGGTGATTGGTGCGTACGGGAGAGGGGCGTGGGGGTGGTGCGACGGTGATTGGTGCGTACGGGAGAGGGGCGTGGGGGTGGTGCGACGGTGATTGGTGCGTACGGGAGAGGGGCGGGGGGTGGTGCGACGGTGATTGGTGCGTACGGGAGAGGGGGTGGGGGTGGTGCGACGGTGATTGGTGCGTACGGGAGAGGGGCGTGGGGGTGGTGCGACGGTGATCGGTGCGTACGGGAGAGGGGCGTGGGGGTGGTGCGACGGTGATTGGTGCGTACGGGAGAGGTGCGTGTGGGGGTGTGTGACGGTGATCGGTATGTGGAGGTGTGACTGTGATTGGTGCGTACGGGAGAGGAGCGTGGGGGGTGTGACGGTGATTGGTGCGTACGGGAGAGGAGCGTGGGGGGTGTGACGGTGATCGGTATGTGGAGGTGTGACGGTGATTGGTGCGTACGGGAGAGGAGCGTGGGGGTGTGACGGTGATTGGTGCGTACGGGACAGGAGCGTGGGGGGGGGGGTGACGGTGATCGGTGCGTACGGCAGAGAAGTGTGGGGGGGTGTGACGGTGATCGATGCGTTCGGGGGAGGAGCGATGGGGGGGGGGGGGGGAGTGATCGGTGGGGGGGGGGGGGGGGGGTGTGGCGGTGATCGGCGTACGTAGAGGAGCGGGGGAGGAGCGTACGGGGGGGTGTGGCGGTGATCGTGATGCGTACGGGGTAGGGAGGAGCGTGGAGGGTGTGACGGTGATCGGTATGTACGGGAGAGGGGTGTGTGGGGGGTGTGACGGTGATCGGTACGTGCGGGAGAGGTGCGTGTGGGGGGGGTGATGGTGTGGGGTGATCGGTATGTGGAGGTGTGACGGTGATTGGTGCGTACGGGAGAGGAGCGTGGGGGGGGTGTGATGGTGAACGGTGCGTACGGGACAGGAGTGTGGGGGGGGGGGGGGGTGATGGTGATCGGTGCGTACGGCAGAGAAGTGTGGGGGGGTGTGTGACGGTGATCGATGCGTTCGGGGGAGGAGCGGGGGGGGGTGGGGGGGGGGGGGGGATACGGTGATCGGTGCGTACGGGGGAGGAGCGTGGGGGGGTGTGGCGGTGATCGGTGCGTACGGGGAGGGAGCGTGGGGGGGTGTTGTGTGGGTGATCGGTGCGTACGGGAGAGGGGCGTGGGGGGGGTGACGGTGGGGGGGGGATGGAGAGGGGGAGGGGTGTGACGGTGATCGGTGTGTACAGGAGTGTGGAAGGTGTGGTGGGGGGATGGAGAGGAGAGGGGGGACTGTGGCGAGTGTGATGGTGGGCGGGATGGAGAGGGGTGTGATGTTGATTAGTGTGTGGCGGTGGGCGGGGGATGGAGAGGAGAGGGGTGTGATGGTGGGCGGGATGGAGAGGAGAGGGGTGTGACGGTGGGCGGGATGGGAGAGGGGAGGGGTGTGACGGTGGGCGGGGGGGGAGGAGGGGTGTGGGGGGGGATGGAGAGGACTGGCAAGTGTGATGGTGGGCGGGATGTAGAGTAGAGGTGCGTGACGGTGATTGGTGTGTGGAGGGTGTGGCGGTGGGAGGGATAGAGAGGAGAGGGGTGTGGGTGATCGGTGTGTACAGGAGTGTGGAAGGTGTGGTGGGGGGATGGAGAGGAGGGGTGTGTGACGGTGTGCAGGATGGAGAGGACTGGGGAGTGTGATGGTGGGCGGGGATGTGTGAGTAGAGGGGTGGGGGGGGGGGGGGGGGTGTTGATTAGTGTGTGGAGGGTGTGGCGGGCGGGGGGAGGAGAGGGAGGGGTGTGGGACGGTGGGGGGGGGTAGAGTAGAGAGGGTGTGGGATGTTGATTAGTGGGGGGGGATGGGTGGTGGGGTGGGGGGGGGGGGGGGGGGGGGGGGGGGGGGGGGGGGGGGGAGGGGGGGGGGGGGGGGTGGGGGATGGGGGGGAGGGGGGGGGGGGGGGGGGGGGGATGGGGAGGGGAGGGGGTGGGGTGGTGGGGTGTGTGGGGGGGTGTGGGGGGGGGGGGGGGGGGGGGGGGGGGGGGGGGGGGGGGTGTGGGGGGGGGGAGGGTGGGGTGGGGGGGGGCAGGGGGGGGGGGTTTGTGGGGATTGGTGTGGGGGGGGGGGTGGCGGGGGGGGGATGGGAGTAGAGTCTGGGGGTGGGCCGGTGTGGGGGGTTTGGGGGTGAGGGGGGGGGGGGGGGGGGGGGGGGGGGGGGGTGGGGGGGGGGGGGGGGGAGATGTGGGCGAGGGTGACGGGTGGGGGGGGGGGGGTGGGGGAGGGAGGGGTGGGGGGGGGGTGGGGGTGGGGGGAGGGGGGTTGGGGGGGGGGTGGGGGGTATGGAGGGAATGTTGGGGGGTGGATGGGGGGGGGGGGGGGGGGGGGAGGGGGGGGGGTGGGGGGGTGTTTGGGGGGGGGGAGGGGGGGGGGGGGGGGGGGGGGGGGGGGAGGGAGGGGAGGGGGTGGGGGGGGGTCAGTGTGGGGTGGAGTGGGGGGTGTGGGTGGGTGGGGGGGATGGAGGGACTGGGGGGGGGTCATGGTGGGGGGATGGGGTGGGTTAGGGGGGGTGTGGGTGGGGGGCGGGGGATGGGGGGGCGGAGTAGGGGGTGTGGGGTGGATTGGGGTGGGGAAGGTGAAGGGATTAGGAGGAAAGGGGCGCACTGGTTAGGAGTTCTTTGCTCTCAGTCATTGCCAATGGTGGAGGATTTGGTTCCTGTGATTCAGTTTTGCCTTTCTGAGTAACGAGTAAAAATACCCCCCAGCTAACGGACATTTCCATCACTCCCCCTCCTCCTCCCCCCCAACCTTGGGAAGTCCTTTAAGGCTCCTTTTATCCATTGGAAAAGGCTCTTCCACCAGGACCTCCCTGGAGCTCTTTCCCCATCCATCCACCACATTTCCCTCTGAAGTCCTCCATGTGCACTAAA